CCATACAACTTGTCCAATTGCATAAGATATCTTTGAGTTTTTAAATTTTGTTTTTCAAAATATGGGGTACACTAAGAAGAAAACTGATTCAAGAACCTAGTTTGCTCAATGTCTTTGCCTCAAACATTCTTTCAAATTATCTGTGATTATAAGCAGCACAACTATTCTGAACTGGGGTCCTTATGGGTTTAAAACCAAGAGCAGTGGTTTTGGATTCAGAAGATCAGAATTTCAATCCTGATCAGTCACATACCACTTGTATGGTCTCGGTCATGTTCTTACCTTCCCTGGGAGACAATGTTCTCATCTGTAAAAGAAGAATGCTAGACTCACAGTGTTGCTAAGGGGATTAATGAAGGCAGCACAGGTAAAGTTCCTGGCAGACAGTCAGCACTGAATCAGCGTGAGGTTCTCTGATGTGAAAGTGATGCGTTCTAAAACTCATTAGATTTAGATTGTAAAGCTGTGCTGTCCAATATAGTAGCTACCGACAACATGTGGCCATGAATTAACTGAAATTAAGACTTCAACAAAATTCAGTGTTCAAAAGTATCATGTGGCTACAGCTACATATTGGCCAGCACCAATACTTATTATTGCCATCACTGAAGAAAGTTCTATTGGGCAGTAATGCCAAAGAAGTGATAGGATCACCAGAATTCCAGAAGCCTGAATTTTTACCACTATGTAACTTTAGCAGAACAACTTTTATCTGATTATGTTACTATTTCCTCACTGGTGAAATGGAATTAATGCCTCTGCAGCAGCTGTGGGCATCAGGTGCACCGAAATCACTTTCTCTCGCTTTCTTATCATCCCAGGACCTCAAGATTAAATTATGCACAATAGTCTCTAGCAAGGATCACTTTGAGGATGACTCAAGAGGTAAACTCTTTGGGAGTTCAATATTCATAGCCATGATTTGATATTATTCCAACACACCTGTAAGTAATTAAGAATAGCATATGTTCAATAGCACACCAAGCTACCTGCAGGCAATTTTGGTGGCGATGAAAAGGCACAAATTAACATAATGGAGTAAGTTTTCATTGGTAAATGGCCTTTTGTACACTGCTAAGTTCTTCCAAGGTTTAAAATGGAAAGATTGGAGATCCTATTTCCTACTTACTCACTGGTTTCTTTTTTTTATAAATTAATTTTTATTGGTGTTCAATTTACCAACATACAGAATAACACCCAGTGCTCATCCCGTCAAGTGTCCCCCTCCGTGCCCGTCACCCATTCACCCCCACCCCCCGCCCTCCTCCCCTTCCACCACCCCTAGTTCATTTCCCAGAGTTAGAAGTCTTTATGTTCTGTGTCCCTTTCTGATATCTCCCACACATTTCTTCTCCCTTCCCTTATATTCCCCTTCACTATTATTCATATTTACTCACTGGTTTCACTTTAATGTCTAAATCTGTCTTTCCCTGGCTTGGAAGTAGTAATGCGTTGCTGTCATTTTTGGAGTAATACTGTATTTTTAAAATTTACCTAGATAGATAGAATTTATCTGTATTTTTCTTTTTTTTATTTTATTTTATTTTTTTTTATTTATTTATGATAGTCACACGGAATGAGAGAGAGAGAGGCAGAGACACAGGCAGAAGGAGAAGCAGGCTCCATGCACCGGGAGCCCGACGTGGAATTCGATCCCGGGTCCCCAGGATCGCGCCCTGGGTCAAAGGCAGGCGCTAAACTGCTGCGCCACCCAGGGATCCCTATCTGTATTTTTCTATAAAAAAACAAGTAATAAGTATTTTAGGGTCATAAAGTCTCTATCACAACCAGTTAACTTCTGCTGTTGCAGCATGAAAGCAGCCATTGACAACAGGAGCATAAATAGGCATGGTTGTGCTCCCAATAAAACTTTATTTACTAAAATAGCCCCTCAGGTCTTAACTTGCCAACTCCAGATCTAGAAGAATATGTAAGAACATATTCTTCCCTGCTTTTCCCCACACTTTTTTTTTAAACAATTACTACATGTTTTTCATTTATTTTAATTTTTTGAACATAGATTGCATCCTACAAATGATTACAGGCTTTTACATGTTTAATTTAGAAATGCTAAAACATAATTTTTCTTCTCAGTTTTATTAAGACCTTGAATAAAAAACCAATATAATTCTTTAGGATAATATCCTCCCCTCAGACAGCAAATTGAGAGAGATGTATATAGTATATAAATCACAAAAGAACTAATTAAAAATGATTCACAGATCTAGTCAGATCCTTTAAAGTTTCCTGGTTATTTTACTAATGTATGGATTGAATTAAAACTTAAATACAAAACCAAAATTGAGCTAAGTGCCATAATGTTATTTCTTATATGGACATTACTGTTCAACTTAGATTAAATATTTAGATGACTCAAGTAACATCTATACAAAAAAACCTAGAAACTTGTATGCCTAGGTAAAAATGTACTTCAAAGAACCAGTAAGAACTTAATAAAATAGAACCATGAAATTCTAGAGTTGGAAGCATCTTTATGGAGTAATTTTTTCAGCCTCATTGCTTCATGGTTGATGAATGTGGTTGTCATCTCTTATTTTTCCTTCCCTGAAAATATTGTACTTATACATCTCCAGTTTTCCTTATGGAACTACTCCTCCTTCCCTCACACTCAGCTCTGGTAGTTTGGTTCAGGGTGGTCTCAAGTCCCAGGCAAAATCTCTGAACACAACTTCATCAGAGCCCTATGAACTCCTGGCCAGAAAGACTGATTCAGGGACTGTTTCCTGGCCAAAAATAGTCGGTCTTCTTAATCCTGCTATGTTCCTTACAATTACCAGGAGAGAGTAGATTCCCTCCTTCATTCCTCTTCCCTCCCTTTTTTCTTTTCTTTGCTATTTCTCTTTTCTTTTTCTTTCTTTCTCTTTCTTTCTTCTTTCTTCTTTCTTTTTTTCTTTTCTTTCTTTCTTTTCTTTCTTTCTTTCTTTCTTCCTTCCTTCCTTTCTTCTTCTTCTTCTTCTTCTTCTTCTTCTTCTTCTTCTTCTTCTTCCTTCCTTCCTTCCTTCCTTCCTTCCTTCCTTCTTTCCTTTCCTTTCCTTTCCTTCCTTTCCTTTCCTTTCCTTTCCTTTCCTTTCCTTTCCTTTCCTTTCCTTTCCTTTCCTTTCCTTTCCTTTCTTTTTTCTTTTCTTTCTCATCCCCTCTCTCTTTTTCTTTCAGGGATGCTAAACTTGAAAAATATATACCAGGGCATGAACAGCTGCCATTTTGTCAGCTTGTGGAAATGGGCTGAGAATGAAGCCAACATCAGACAAGCTGCTCTGAAATGCTAAGTCCAAGTTCTGAGGTTTTGAGTCTCTGGATCCAGCCTTAACTGTAACCAGAACCTCCGTCTTTTATAATCACAAGAGCAAAACAGTTCTCCCCCATTTTTCTTAAGCCTGAGTTAGGTTTTTGTCATTACAAGAGTCTAGACGAATATCATAGGTTAATCAATTCAAAAGAAGTGAATGTTGGTTAAGTGGGAGGGTCAGGACTTTCATCTCTAAATCTGATGCTTGTTTCAGGAGAATGATGCATAGACTAGCAAATCATTAAAATCTCATGTGCAAAGCAGTCCAAGTCAAAAGTGTATACTACTCTGTAAGCTTCTTGCATACTAAGTACTATGTTTAGACTGTCACCTCCTTTCATGGATATTCTTGCTTAGAACAGGGCCAAGTTTAAAAAATACTGATCTGATTTAAAGGAAATTACTGTTCATACTTATATACAGTACAGGAAACAGACTTAAAGGGGATCTGGAAGGTCAGAAATATAGGGAATGCTGGTACAGGGAACATATGGAGGACTTCAGATCCACCAACTCCAATTGTCCCCAATTCTATCCCGTGTCATCAGTCATAATTTTTGGGTCAACACACATATATCAGTGATTCATTCTACAAATACTTATGGAAACTATGCTGTTGCTCAGCACCAAGATACCATGTGAGCAACATAAACTCAGACACTTGGATCTTCCAAGAGATGAAAAAAAAAACAAAACCCACCTCAATTCTGACAAATAACCATGCATTTGGAAATAAAGGGCTGTTTGCTTGTTATTAACCCTTTATTTTATTTTCTTAAGATTTTACTTATTTATTCATGAGAGACACAGAGAGAGCCAGAGACATAGGCAAGGAGAGAAGCAGGTTCCCCTTGGGGAGCCCAATGTGGGACTCGATCTCAGGACTCCATGGTCTCGACTGGAGCCAAAAGCAGATGCTCAACCAATGAGCCACCCAGGTGCCTGTATTAACCCTTTTAGAAAATAATCACATGGGTGACTTGATTCCTTTACCTACTCCTCCTAAGTGGATTCATTAGACAACAGTGTAAATAGCTATGTGAACATAGGCTTTTACAAAGGGCCTGATTTTTGTCTAATTGACAATGTATGTGTTATTTCTTTTACCATACTAATTGGTTATCAAGTGATCAAGAACCAAATAACATCTAAAAAGACACTGTTAATATTTTTCATTCATTGCATAACGATTAAAAAAGGACATACGACTGATCTATCCAATGTTTTTTTTCTCCACAGCAAATATGAAGCTAGAAAAAATGACTTCTTAACTGTTGTCCATAAGTGAAATTTATGAGAACAGTGTAAACTGATAACAACAACAACAAAAACAACAAATAGAAAAGTCTGGTCTGCTAAACATTTGTACACTAGGAGAAAAACCTTTAATGCTGGCAGATGAGCCTCACTAAATAGGATGAGTTTAGGCATATGCATTTCCTTTAGCATTGCACAGACTGAAGTCACATTTTAACCTGTTAGACATCTGTGACACTTACCTGGATTTCTGGTTTACATAAAAATTTTATTCTTTCATTGCATAATCTGCTAACAGAAATGGCTGTTGATAAAGTTAAGTGGAACTAAAATAATCCCAGAATAACTCAAAATCTCCAATTTTGGAGTCATGCCTAAGAGTAAAAGAGAAATTGTCTGAGGAATGAAATTGACCAAAATGAGAAATACACAAACCTTAGAGCTTACAAAACACAGGATTTTATTTAAATTTGTGTACAGATAAAAATTTACCCAAATTTAAACATAGACATAATTCAAATTCTTTCCCACCACAAAAATGGATATTATGAGAAAAAGACACATTTTTCCCAGCTGGTAGATTCTGGAGGCAACAGGGAGGGGAAGAAAAGATACTGATACAACATAATTTGATCTTCAGCACTGTTTCATCTTGAAATGACTTAATTATGGAGATTTCCATAAGAATCAGCATTCTTTGGTTTTGACTTTGAAATAGAATCTTCTCTGACAAAATCACAAATAAGGCTTCTGGCTTTATTTTTAGTGTGAGGTAAACAGTATATTCAATATTAAGGCAAATGGTAGAATGCATGTGTGGGATATTAATGTGCGTTTTCCACTATAAAATAATATGTTTTGGAACATTCATGGATTTTCTAAGCGTGCTGGAATTAGAACTTGTAAAAGCTGTTGCAGTGTGCAACAGTTTTGAATGTCTTAGCTGTGCCTTTTTGATAATCTGCTAAACGTATTTTTTTGAGTTTTTTACAGTATATGATTCTTTTAAGATTAAAAATTATTGTAAAATCGTTGTAAATGAACCAGGGTCTGATCTCAAATTCCATATATACACACTCTGTTTGGCCAAAGAGACTGCTCCCCTAAAGTTGGCAAAACAATGCCTAAGAGCAGGCTTACCATGATGGAAAAGTATGAGAACAGATATTAATAAAGACTCTAATATGTGAAATCAGATTATTTAGGCTGTCTAGCTGTCTTATTCAAGAAAATGCAGATTTAAGATCTTTCATACAGTGATTCATCCCCTGGCTCATCCCCTATCCCTTTTTTCCCAATGGGATAACCATTTCCTTCACACTTCACAGTGATGAGAGAAACATTCCTTTTTTATGGCAAAATGGACTTCTTCCTCTAAGGTGTCAGGACAAAGCTGTCATTTCTTAGCCACGCTGGCCACAGACTTCTTGGCTGCGTCCTCCAGGTCGACGGCTGAAGTAATGGGGAGTCTGCTGTTACTGAGAATGTTCCGGGCCTCGTGGACATTGGTTCCTAGAGGGTGGGGATGGGGTGAGGATGGACAGTCACTGAAAATGAAAGTGGAGGTGGTGCCCTGGGTGGGAAGTTTCATATGATCTGCAATGTCCAGGTCTCATAAACACAATTTAATTACAACTCAGTTTCAGCTTTTTATCTGGATTTGGATAATTAGATATATTTAGATGACAAATTCACTTTCTTTTTCTTTTTTTCACCTCAAATGTCTGGCATTATAAAGATGCTACCTATATTTTTTCTGGCACTTCAAAAATGCAAACAACAGTGTTCTTATAAGACTCTGAACAAAGAAAGATTAGCAACTACTTGGCCAACTGGTTTGATAGAGGAAAATCCTCTGAAATGCTTAAATAATCTGAATACAGAATCTAAAGAAAAAACTATGTATAAAACATGTGCCAGAGAATGACAAATTGTTGTGATGTGATGGTATAGAATACTGACAGTAACACATGGAGATGCACAGACTAACTAATCTCTAGCTTTTCACCAGGAAATGAATTAAATATAAGTTTTAATCAATGTCATTGACAGGGAAGATTATGTGGCAAGATTTCTATCAAGTGGTGGTCTGACTAGAAACCAAGATGAAAGATAGGAATTGGCTGAGACTAAAAGACATTTTATTTTTTAACTGATAAAAGCTGAAATTTCTCCTGACAATCCACAGTCAAGTGGATTTCATGTGGTTCTGGCCCATGCCAGAAGTCATTCATCTTAAAGACTTCTTGAAACTAAGGGTCTGAGTTGTGTCCTAAAGTTCTGTGAACCTGCCTGCCTATGGCCACAAATCCACTGCTTTGGAAACACTGATAGTATTCTACACGTCTGTTTTTGCTTCCTCCCCACTCTGTATGACAGAAAGGGCAGAGGACCTGAAAAGAGCACTGCAGCCTCTGAGGGTACGTCTTGGTGTCCTACTCCTGCTGGATTTACAGCATTTGATGGCCAAGCTACCCCACCCAAAGGTGTGCTTCTGCAACTGACTGCTCAGCATGCAAACTGCTTTTCTGTTCTTTCAGAGCGAACAAGCCTGTAGGAGAAATGTGATAAAATTTAAGAGTCTAATGAAATATCTCATCTTACATCATTTCCTGTGCTTCTATCTAGTTAGCAAGACAGAGCCTATTTATAAACAAAGACCTTGAAATATAGGCCTTGGAGGACTTATGAGTACAAATATAAAGGAGGCACTCAGTCAGCAGGTTTCATACAAAAAGGCAAAGGTAGAATTAAAGAGGAACAGCTGTGCTAACAAGGTGACGCAGCGTTGATTCTCCTGGGACCCTGGAGCCATCACACTGGTGGGGAAGGGGACATTTGGCACGGTGTCTTTAGTTCAGGGTTTACTCACTGCTGTTTTCCATAGCAATCTGCAGAATGGCCTCTGTAAAGCAACTTAAAAGGGAGGGAAGTTGTTACCTAAAATCCCCAGCTTCCTCATCCTGGCTCTCATGTATTAGTTGGATAGTTTGGGGTAAATCATTTAACATATTTTAGCCTCAACTTCTTTATCTTCAGACATGACATGATGATTATCTGCCTCATACCTAATACTCCGTAAGCACTTACATATGCCAGATGTAATGCTAAGTGACTTACAAGCAGCATATGAAATCTTTATGACGACAATGCCTAGATCTTACTGTCCCCATCTCACAGATGAGACAACAGAGGCATGGAGAGCTTAAATCACTTTTCCATAGTCACAGATTGTAAGCGGCAGACAGGAACTTGAACTATGTTCTAATTATACAACCCTAAGTGTTCCCAAGATATGCCAATCTGTTACCCTGTCTATAAAATGAGAATAAGGGGGTGCCTGGGTGGCTCAGCTGTCTAAGGGTTCAACTCTTGATTTCAGCTCAGGTCATGATATCAGGGTTGTGAAATCAAGTCCTGCGTCAGGCTTTGTGCTGGGCATGGAGCCTACTTAGGATCTTAAGATTCTCTCTTTCCCGTTCCCTCTGCCCCCTTGCCTTGCTTCTCCTCCTCTTTAATATGAGAATAATAATGCTGATAGCATAAGCTATGATGAAAAGTAAATGAAATAATGCATGTAAAAGGATTTAATAAATGTCTGCACATCTGTGGCAGACCTGGCTGGCTGTCCACCAAGGATTCATGCTTCTTTTCTACAGGGGACAGCTGTTGTCGGGAGGTAGCTGCCCAACCAGGAACTACATTTCCCAAGGACCCTTGCATCTATGTGGTGTCATGTTACGGAATTCTGTCCAAAGGCCTGTGCGTGGACATGAAACACAGGCCCATAAAAATTGCCAATGTGAGCCTCCAGTCACTTAGATTTCCCTGTCTGCCTTCTGGAACATTGCCAGCCAAGACAACTCTGTAAGTTATCTTTGTGCAGATGGCAATGACTCCTTCAGCATGGATACTAGCATAATTCTGTAGAATAGAGCAGCCCACTCACTCACCCTTTATATGAATGAGGAAGGACCATCTATTACATTAAGGCTCACATTTTAGGATTTATCTGTTGTCACAGGAGCTAGCATTACTTTAACTGACATGTTACTTCCTAAGTGTGGTGGGCTGCTTCCAAAATGGCTCTCAGATGATCAATCCCCACTTCTGGGGTTCATGCCCCTGTGTAATCCCTTTGGCTGTGGGGTAGAGCCATCTACTTGCTTCTAATGAATAATAGGGAAAACATGATGGAATGTCATTCTAAGACTAAGTTACAAAAGCCAATGACTTCTTTCTTGCTTCTTCTGACTCTCTGTTCACTGATGAAGCAAACTGCCATACTGCCCTACAGAGAAGCCCACAAGGCAAGGAACTCAGGGCTGCCTCCAGTCAAAAGCCAAGGAGTAATTGAGGCCTTTAGTCTGACAACCCATGAGGAACTGCATCCTGCCAACAACAATGTGAGTGTGTACGGAAATACCACTTCCTCAGTAGAATCTTGACATGACCTTAGCCCTGGCTGACACTCTGAATGCAGCCTTGAGACCGTAAGCCAAAGGACCCAGCTAAGCCACACCTAGATTCCCTACCAGAGAAACTGAGATCAACAATGTTCCTGGTGTTAAGTTGTTAAATTTTAGGGCAATTTGTTACACGTTGGCTACTTAACTAATGTAGATATAAAGATTTATTATTTCATTAATACAACCTCAGTGTTCATTTTGATTTATTTGGTAAAGTTTCAGACAAAGTCCCAGAGGTTGAAAAGTAGGACAGAGGATCAGACTGTGGCAGGTATTAAATACTGGGCTAAGAATTCTGACACTAATCTGTATGTAGAACCTTCATAGAATCATGACACAATGTGAAGCAAAGTCCTGACTGACACAGAATGGAATTGGTCTTTAGACCAGAAGGTCAATGGAAGTTAAATATGTAAATTTCTATCTCCTTCAACAGAGACATGGACTAGAGTTCTTTGCCAGGGAAGAAATGTGAGGATACAAAAGGTTCTTTTCTCTCTCTTTCCTTTCACTTCAGAGCACCTCCAATCTCAACAGACAGCCCCCAAGAACCCCATGTAACAAGAAGAAGCAGATTCATCTGCCTGAACATTCCTCATCTCTGACTCTGCCTTTCTTTGGTGAGAGTCCTTCCTCCTATGGACACAGATCTTACCCAAGCCTGTCAAGCTCTGTGTAACTGGACTGATGTAAGAATAAGCAGTGCCAGTAGGAGTGATAACAGTAACAAAAGCAATAATAGCAGCTATCACTTAGCAGGTGTCATACATTGTTCCAGGGTCCTAAGCATATTAGTTCATTTGCTCCTCAATGGCAACCCTGAGATAGCTACTATTACTATCTTCCTTTTACAGAAGGGATGACTGAAGCACAAGTTAAACATAAAAGTCTAGCTGACATAGCTAGTAATAGCTAGGAAATAGTGGAATAAACACTGAACTTGATCTTTCACTGGCTTGAATGATTGGCTGAACCATGGATGATCCCTTCTTAACAGGTTTTATAAATACATGATATCATTATCATCATAATCATACTGATAATAATAAAAAAAATCTCTGTTTTTCAGACATCCCACAATACTTTGAGCCTACGAACTTGTGAGTTTGGTGTTTCTAAAAGACCTTGTGAGTTGAGTTTTTGTAAATAAGTTCTTTTTATTCATTTATTTATTTTTTTGGCCAAGAGCACTGAGGCTTAATGATTGGCAGGATTTAGCCTCAAAATCCTTTGTTCTTCCCACTCAGTTGTGATTTCCCAGTGACTCTTGTATGACATTTAAAATCTGTAGCACTTTCCCACGCATGAGATCATCGAAACTTCAACGATGCTATAAATTATTTAAGGGCGAGGATCAGGTACAATTAGGGTGTCTGCTTTTTCCAACCTCCCTGTCTAGCTATACCTATTCTACCCAGTGTCTTCTGCTGGAGGAAGGACCACATTGTGATCTTTGCTCAGAGGCAGATATGGACTGTTTACAAGGCACGACTACACCTGGTCCAAGAGTGATCCAAATACAGACGATGGTCATCAGCTCTTAGCTTCTCTCCTGAGAATCTGAATGGGTAGTATATATGATATAGAACAGAGTAGCATGAATAGGATTTAAATAGCCCTAGGTAAGCAGACAAAGGCAGCACACACATGCAGCGAGGAGTGTTGTCAAGTGCACTGGCTGCTGGAGTCATGCGCTGGAGGATGGCCTCCACGCTCCATCTTCCTCTTCCTGAGGGCCAGCTTCATTCTGGCTTCTGTTCATCTGAGCACTGCTTTCGTTTTTAAAAACTGTATTTATTTATTCATGAGAAACACAAAGAGAGAGGGAGAGACATAGGCAAAAGGAGAAGTAGGCACCCTGCGGGGAGCCTGATGCAGGTACTATCCCAGTACCCCAGGATCATGAGCTGAGCCAAAGGCAGATGCTCAACCACTGAGCCACCCAGGTGTCCCTGATTCTGAGAACTGTTAATGCAGTTTAACTGCATTCCTTTCCATGGGTATAGATGAAATAAGCTCTTAACCATTTTAGGTCCTAGAGAC